TTATATTAAATTAATTTATTTAGTGATTTTAAAAAATATTTTTAAAAATATAATAATTAAATATAAAATTAATTAACAAAATATTTAAACATACACTTAATGAATTTAATTTATTTGACATAATTCAATTATCTAAATCAATTTAACATAATTCAATCACATAAAATTAATTACTTTATTTAGTTAACTTTAGGTTTATGGTGTTAGCAAAAGAGAGGTTGTATATGTTTTATTTTTTTAACTTTTATTTATTTTATTTTAATGAAAACTATTTATTTTTCTTTTATTTAAAAGGACTGTTTCTTTTTATTTGACAAATTATTTTTCTTTTTGTGGGATCACATCTTTTACCCAAAAAATTAGGGATTGCATCATTTTACTTCTCCCAAACAAACAACGTCAAGTCTGAAGCAAAAGTATACCAGAAATTACACTCAGCCCAAGCCACCATTTTTATAAAATAATACTTTAAAGTTTAAACGACACATCCACACTGTCCAGGCTTCTAATGTTCAAACACACAGAAATCGGCTTCAAAAAATAAAGAAATAACCATACGAATACTTTGAACCATGATTATTGGTTGTTATATACTTATATTATCATATTGGTAGCTGGCTAGCTGTATCCTATTCCTTGAGGCTGTGTTTGATTTGATGAAAAATAAGTGAACCAAAACTTATTTAATAACTTTCCCTCAATTTTCTTTTCTGTTTCTATCAAATTAAACACAGCATTAAAGAATTTCATAAGGACAACTTTTTGGTTCAAAGTAGATAAGGACAAATATTATCTTTTTATAAAAGATAATATTTTTCTAAAATGATTAAAATAAGATATTTTTTTTGAAAAATATCAAAAAAAGGGTAATAATACTGTTCATCGTCTTCCTTACATCATCGGTTCCAAGAAGCGCAAGCTACCACCATATCAAACTTCGTCGTGTTGGTCGATGCTTGCAGACGCTTTCTATCTCTAGGCGACACCCATCTCGGGGACCCACCCACCATTCTGCCATACTCTGGGAACACCTCAGGCTTGGAGCTTCTGTTCGACTTTGGGATCTTCTTAAGCGTGGCGAGAAAATTACTGACCGAGTGGCTTATGTTGTACAAGCCTTGCTTGATCTCTTCTCTTACGTTGCCCTTACTGTGAGCGAATCCATCAAGACAGGTGTATTGATATATCATTGCAGCACTTAACAGAGTTCCCAAGTCATTATAGTGCCTCGAAGGTGAGTTTTTCGGTGACAGACTGGACAGAGCGCTTTTAAGATCAGCGAC